GCCCTACTGCCATATGAAATGCAACCCAAGAGCATTTAGATTCTAAGTCAGCCAGAAAAGATGCTGGACTGAGTCTTCAGGTAGGATGGGCTTAGCAGCGGGGGCAATTTCTGATCCTGAAGGGCTTAGGTGGTTAGGTCTACTCCTTTTCCTCAATCACCTTTGTCCCCCACAGCCAACTTCCTGCCCTCTTCCCTCATCTCTCTCCTAACACCAAGGCAGAAAGGCACGAGTACATTTTCCACAGGAGGTTTTTACTAAGGAGACTGAGGGGGGGGGGGGGGCGCCCCAGCCAGAGGGCTAAGGGCCCAGGAAAGGCACAGTGGCGGTGGGGTCTTCCTCTGGGTGAGGGCTGGCTTGGCAGAGACAGAGCCCCCTGTGACCCCTCTTTGGCACTGAGTTGGGAACATGGTGTCCTTACTCCAGCCTGGCAGGCAGAGGGCACCCCCCAGTGGCGGCTGGCAGTGTAGGCTGGCACAGGGGGGTATTGGGTTTGGCTCCAGAGCCTGAGCAGGCTGAAGGGACACGCCCGGCCACCTCCTGTGCTGGCAGGGTGCTCATGTTGGCAATCGAGACTACAATGGAATCCAATAAATTATGCTGTAGTGGGAGACAGGGTGAGGGGCTACATTTCTTCTCAGGGCTCAGGGGGAAATGCTGCACAATCTTTCTTTCTAGGACTCTTCAGGATTACCAGAGTAAGAGAGGATGCATGCCCTGGGCCCTGTCTGAGTCAAGGCCCCATTTGGCTGCTTCTATAGCAGGAAGATCATCCTGTGCACCAGGAGCCTTGGTTGGCCATCCTAGGGGGTGGCTGCAGAGAGATGGACCATAGAAGAAATAATGGGGACTTGAGTTTTAGGAAAGAAGTGATCCACAATTGCCAGGCATGCTACAGTAAGCAGGACCAGAAAAGGAGGGGTCCCTGCTCACTTCCTATGGCTCAACATTTGGTGTGGGGTCAGGACTGGGGGCCCACAGCCCCACACTCCCTCCCCAAAGAAAAGTAAAGGACTTGCTGCCTGGACCAGGGCACAGGTATTGAGGAGTGGACCCCAGGGTAAGGCGGGAAGCAAGGGAAGGGACATGGATTCCCTGGGGTCTTCTAGGAAGGGCAGGCTCACAGCTAGGACACCTGGGAGAAGGGAAAGGCATGCAGGGGTGGCAAGAGCAGGGTAGGTGCTGCTGCTTCCTTCATGTGATCTGAGAGCCTAGGGAGGGTGGGGGTAAAGGCTGGGCCTCCGTCAGGCGGGGATGTCTGAGCCCGGGAGGCTGGCAGCTGGGGCCTGTTCTGGGGCCATAGCCTCTCCTAGGATCTGGCGGAGCTCTTGGAGACGCCGCTGCATCTTGGGAATGCCGGCTAGCTGCTGTTCTAGCCGCTGTTTCTCCTCAGTCAAGCTCAGGCGGGTAGCCGAATCCAGCTTCTCAAACTTCCAGCCACCTTCCCCATCAAACTGCAGCAAGTGTGTGTGGTACTTCCTGGCCAGGGGAAGGGCAGAAAGGGGACAGGAAGCTCACTAGCAGCTGCCCTCTTTGCCTCACATGGCAGCTCTATCCCCTTCCCCCAAGAGCAGGTCTCAGAGAGGTACCTACCACAGGGATGGCCGGTGGGTGATGGACAGCAGTGCAATGCCGGCGTCCTTGGCTGCCTGGAAGATCTTGCCTTCCACATCTATGCTCACGGCACTGGTACACTCATCCAAGAGGGCATACTTGGGCCTTGAGGGTGGAGAGCCGAGAGGAAGAGGCTGCGGGCCAAGCCCCTAGCTCTGCTCCAGCCCTGGCACTAGCCCCTGATCTGTTCCTTGGGGCCCATGGCCCTGCTATGTTCTGGTAGGGCCAAGGCTACTCCTGGTAGCTGCCTTCCTCCTGCAGAGGGCTCCAGGGAGCACCCATTTTTCTCTGCTGCTGGTTCTGGACTATCCTGAATGCCCTGGACAGCCACCCCCAGGGCTCACCTATGGTAGAACATTCGGGCCATGCCAATTCTCTGCTTCTCGCCCCCGGATAAGACGTCCTTCCAGTCACATATGGCTTCCCAACCTGGTCAGGAGACAAGGGGGCTCTGTTCAATTTCTCTCCTGGAGGAGCTTATACAGTTACATGTTTCTGCTGTGTCCTTGTCTGTCTGTGATATTTTAATAATTGAAAAAGAGTTGGGGCCAGAATTGTTACCATCCCAAAGATATACTGGACCCCTATCCCTAGTACCTCAGAATGTGGCCTTAGTTGAAGACAAGGTCTTTACACACGTGATCAAGTTAAGATGAGGTCCTAAGGGTGGGCCCTAATCCAACATGACTGGTGTTCTTATGAGAAGGGAAATTGGGCAACACAGAGACATTCATAGAGGAAGAGGATGTGAAGAGACACAGGGAGAAGACCACCACCTACACACCAAGGAGAGAGGCCTGGCAGGGTTCAGGTGGGCTGTCTGAGCAGGATAATTTGTTAGGCCAGTTGGCAGAACTGGCACCTTCTCTCCTTTCATCCATTCTGCCTTACTATAGAACTAGAAGACTATAGAACTAGGAGACTTGGGGGTACCTGATCAGAATCAAGATTACACTTTCTAGCCAGGCACTGGTGGCTCATGCCTGCAATCCTAGCTACTCAGGGGGCAGAGATCAGGAGGATGGCCAGCCCAGGCAAATAGTTTGGGAGACCCTATCTTGAAAAAAACCCATCACAAAAAAGGGGGGCTGGTGGAGTGGCTCAAGGTGTAGGCCCTGAGTTCAAACTCCAGTACTGCAAAACAAAAACAAACAAAAAACAAAACAAAATTATACTTTCTAGCTAGCTTGCCCTGCGATGAGGTGAGGTGCAACCATGTGATTGACCAATGACATACGAGTGTGTCACACATGTAGAAGCCTGTGGACCCTTTCCTGGAAGACAGAAGGCAAACAACCTTTGCCTCTTCTCCACTACTTCAGCCATCCTATAGCCTAGGACAGGACTGTGATGACTACAGCAGCAATCTTGGATCATGAGGTGATTTGGGTGTTTGTTTTTTTTTTTTCTCACAGCACTGGGATTTGAACTCAGGGCCTCATGCTTGCTAGGCAGGCACTCTTGCTACCTGAGCCACTCCACCAGTGAACGGAGGAATGGAGGCCACATAGCAGAGTGGTCTGGTAGATAGCTTGGATCCCCAGAGCCTGCACAGAGCAGGACCCCCAACGCATGAATGATTTAAGCCACCATGTAGAAAATTTTCCTGTACACTCACACCCTTGGACTTCCTAATTCCTCCTCCCCGCCGCCAGGTCATGGGCCCTCCCAGGAGCCATTCCACTGAAGGCTGCTGCAGAGGGTATCTGGCCCTTCTGTGGTTGTCAGCGAAGGACTTTGTTCAATGCCATCTTGTACCTACTGCATGAAGGGGGCAGAAAACAGAACCCCCTGCTCAGATTTCACTAGGAAAACCCAATGCACCCTACATCCTGCTTCTGCAGCACACTGTCTTCTCCTCCTCCCTTCCTCCCTCCCTCTGGGCACAATGGATATTATAGAAAAGCACTGTCCCAGCATAAGCCTTCTCTTCTCCCAAACACTTTTTCTTGCTACCTGTCCCTCCGGAGGGCTCTTCCCAGAGTCCCCAGATTCTACTCTTCCCACCCTCATTTCAAGTCTCTGTATAAAACTCAAACATCATGCAGTTAGGCTTACCCTGCCCAGAGAGGACCCTCTTGCTGAATTGCAAAACTGACCTGTCCCTTCCCTGCCTAAAATCTCCCAAGGGCTTCAGATTACTCCCAGGGAAAATCCAATGGCCCCTCTGTAAGCCAGCACCTCCCTGCCACTGGGTCCTGGTTGTGCTCTGTCCTGTTGCCCCCTGGCTCCCAGATGGGATGACCACTCAATGTTCCACAGGTCTTGGTTCTGACCTCTCTTCTCTGAGATGAATGCCCTCCTGAAAGTCCCCTTCCTGGTATATTCATGGGACTCATACCACTTGGGGCCACTTGTTTACTGGCATCTTCTCTGGAAGGTGGGGCTCGCAGCAGGCACTTTGGACTCCTGGATGCTGAGCTAATTCTCATCCTCTGAGGTTGGGGAAAGAGGCCAGGGGTGGAGGTGACAGCAGGTTCCCCATCAGGGACTTGGGACAAAGGGCAATTGATTGCTCTCTGCAGGGACAATAAGTCCAGCAACAGCCCTGCCCCTACCTCCTTCCCGCTGCAGGATGTGGTGGAGGTGTACGATGTTGAGGATGGCTTCCAGCTGCTGCTCTGAGTAGCCCTTCCTCCGCATGTCCTCCACCGAGTCTGGGTAGATCACCTGGTCACGCAAGGAGCCCACGGACATGTAGGGCCTGTGGGAAAGCTGTATGTCCACCCAGGGCAAGGAGGCCCTGTTTACCTGAGAGTGTTCTGTGCCTGAGTACAGTCTGTGGTGGCCTGGGCTGTGGACAGACCTCCCACAAAGCCTTCCAAGTGGTGACCACATCACACTCATGCATCTCCACACTCACACATTAATATGCATGCACACACATCTGTGGGTCTGAGTGTAAGAACCCCCACCCAGATCTGCAATGGACAAAGGATGAGATCAGGCTCTTGGCGCTCCAATTCTGGGGCAATGTCTTGGTGTCCTCTCCTCAGGGGCGGACTCTACCCTTTCCTAGGCCTCTGTTGTAAGCCTTCACTTGTGTAGGTGAGAAGAGGTGGGGGAAAGCCAGGGAACAGGGTTCTGCATCTCCTGCCTGCTGGGCAGACCCCTCCTGTGCTGGGCCTCCTCACCTCTGAGGGATGTAGAACATTCGTTGTGGTGGTGGTTTGTAAAGCACGCCACCATACGTGGGCCAGAGTCCACCAAGGATCCGGAATAGAGAGCTCTTGCCACAGCCATTGGGGCCCGTGATGAGCAGGTGCATGCCTTCTTCCACCTGTGGAGGGAGCAGGCTGTGGCTCCCAGGGCTTGGGCCTTCTTTCCAACCTCAGAAAACATTGTACATTCAAGGCCAGCAGGTAGGCACAGTCTCACCATGTAGGCCAGGTTGGCCTGGAACTTGTAATCTTCCCATCTTAGCCTCCTCAGTGCTGGGGTGGCAGACCTGTTCCCCCATGCCTGGTGAGCAGGCCATTCCTGATCTCTTGTTAAGTGACAGCAAGGCCAGAGAAGTGGAGTCCAGTGTTCAGATGGCACAGGACACAAGGAAATGAACAAATCTCAGCCCTGTCCCCTAAGGCCCTGACACACCAGGAGAACATAATGCCAATGCAAGAAGGGTCTCTTTTCCTACAACTGAATGAATGGGTGTGTTCTAAGATAGTTGACATCATCCGCGATCCCATTCAATTTTCACTTCACTGGGAATCTAAGTGCAGGGTGCAGAGCCTCAGCCCCCTTTAGGAACTGCCCACAGGAAAGGCATTTTCTTTATACTTCTAGAACTACTTTCCAACTCCACCCTGCCTATCTCCTGTCCCCCAGGGTCCTCTCTACCTCTATAGGGGCTGTTGTGACCCCTGAGCCTAGTGTCAAGGACCTCAAAGTTCTTGAGGTCCCCATTAGTAGATTACATCATCCCCACTGGATTTATGGAAACAGTTGTAGGAAGGAGGAGCAAGAGTGTAGGGGAGCTCTATTCTCTTCTACTAGATTCTCATTCAGTCCCCAGGGAAGAATGAGTCAGGGTGCCCTGGGGCAGAAATTGCCCTGCCATCATCAACACCATCATACTTAGTCCCTTCCTTTTTTCAGTGTGTGTGTTTTCTTACCTGTAAAAGATAACAACACTTTGCACAGGGCCCCTGGAAAGATCCAATGTGCCTTTGGTTTACCTTGAGTAGGGTTATGGGTTGGACTGTGGTCCCCAAATTCATATGTTGAAATCCTAATCCCTAGTATCACTGAATATGACCTTATTTGGAAATATGCTTGCTGCAGTTGTGATAAGTTAACATGAAGTCATACTGGAGTGGAGTGGGCCCAATCCACTGTCCTTACAAAGAGGGGAGATCGGGTGCTGGCAGTGTGGCTCAAGTGGTAGAACACCTGCCTAGTAAGTACAAAGCCCTGAGTTCAAACTCCAGTACCACAAGAAAAAGAAGAGGGGAGGAATATAAAGGAGAAAGATGGAGTGGATAAATCTAAGATATACTATAAGCACTTTTGTAAATGTTACAATGTACCCCCAAGTACAACTATGATATGCTAATAAATGAAAGAAGAAAAAAAAAAGAGGGGAGATTGGGACCCAGACACACACAGGGAGAATGCTGTGTGTGTGAAGACAGAGGCAGAAAGTGGGATGATGCAGCACAAGCCAAGCCAGGTGAGGCCTGGGGCAGATTCCCTCACACCCCCAAGAAGGATCCCATCTTGCCACCTTGATCTAGGCTTGTAATCTCCAGAACTGGGTAAGAGTCCATTTCTGCTGTTAAAGCCACCCAGTCTGTGGTGCTCTGTTAGGGCAGCCCCATAACATCCACACAATCATATGATCATCAACTCTGGAGGGTGGAAGGGGCAAAAGGGCTTCTGGCTCCCTCAGGACCCCACCCCTGCTCTTCCCTGTCACCACCCCATCTTGCCTGGCCTTCCTCTCTAACCAGCTGTATCTTTGCTCACCAGGGCCTGGGTGTCTTTGCCTCCTTGGATTTTCCTGGGTCCAGCCTGGAAACTACCCATCTACCTTGGATCCATCAGCCATTGGCTGCTGTCCTAGCCCCTCGAGTGATTACTGCCAGGAGCGATGTAGCTCACACCACTATGTGTGCTGCTTGGAGAAATATCATATGCCCTGCCTCTAACTAGCTCTCAGGGCCCCTCTCTCATCTTCCTTCTTTCCAGGCTTAGCACCCTCAGCAGATGAAGGAAGGAGCCTAGACACTCCTACCTTCCCTTGCCTCTTCCCTGCTTACTACTGCTGAGACATGGCTGGCTCTGCTTCCTAGTCCCTTGCCCCTCAGCCCAGTCCTATCCACCTACCCACCTATCTGTGGCCACAGGGGCAAAGCTTCACTGGACCTTCACGGCCCCTAGGGATGGTGATCAGCCTACTTGTGGCCCTTGCTGTACTCTGGACAGTAGTCTAACTAGGAACCTTTGTAACACTTTAGTGTTCCCTGCCAGAGTGGGGACTCCCTGAGGGCAGCCCCTTCTCCCCAATTTATTGTTGGTTTCCAGTTCCCAACCCAGCATTCAGCGAATACTGCTCCAGTCTCCCCCTTACTCCATTCTCCCTGCCCCTATCCAAAGCCCTGCCTTGGGACATAGGTGATCAATGGATGGCTCAGTGACCAGGGATTCCTTTTAGTGATCATTCTAGGGCCTCAGAGCTTTCCCCAGTGCATAGCTCTGTGCCCACCAAATAGACCCTGTGCTGGGGATGTCTCAAAGTAGATGGAACAGGATCTTTGGCTGGACAGCAGAGGGGCCCAGGTGAGTAGAGTAGCAATCTTCTTTTCCAGACCTAGAGTGGAACCAGTGACTCCAAGTCTTGGCTCTCAGAGAGGATCAGACCAGGAATACTTGGGTAACCCATAGTCAATTCTGGTAGCTACTAGTTTCTTTTACCAGCTCTGACCCTATCGCACCAGAACTCCTAGTCAGACACACGTTGGCCTCTCACCTTGACTTTAGCTTACCTGCCACGTAGATCTGGGGACAATACTACTGCCAGCACAGCCAAGCAGGAAGCCAAGGGCTAGAGCTTGCCGACGCAGATGGCCAGGAGCCAGTGATGTGCATCCTGGCCCCATCTACTTGGCCAAGCCCAAGTCTCTAGATCAGAGACCCCTCCCCCACTTGACATACCCTGATGTTCAGGCTGGCCACCACCACTTCTCCTGTGGGCGTGATGATGGGGATGTTCTCACAGATAATCCCCTGCTCCACATCCACCACCTGGCCTGTAGGGAAAATGCAAGGAAGGGGGAGAGGGAGCAGCATTTGGCTGCCTTTCTTTGCTCCCTTGGCACCCCTAGTAACACACCAGTGGATTCTGAAACAGATTTGTACAGACCAGGGCCCCTTGGGAAAATAGCCAGGTCTTCCAACAAACTGACGCCCTCCCACTGTTTAGTACCATGCCCTAAGCCCTTTGGTCCTCTGGACCCGAGACATTGAGTAACTACTGCTCTGACGCCCTCCCCACCTGGTACCATCTTAAAAGCAGCTCCAATGCCTAGGCTCCTCTTCTTCATTGCCCTGACTCCTATGTAGCTGGCAGCTGGCTGGACTCTTTCCTGTGTTCACACACTGCCTTGAACTTTCTCTGGGTGCCCTGAGTGGGTGTCTGATCTCTTGCACTTAGGGTCCACACCCCCCTCTTTTTAATCCAGGCTAGGGTCCTCAGGAGTATGCATTAGCAGCTTGACTGGCAGTTACTGCTCCAGGAATGCAGGCTGCTGGGCCAGTACCTCTCTTGAGGAAACCCTCTTCAGGGACCTCTCTCACCCTGCAGAAGTCCTTAATGATCCTGCTGGACATCCGTCCCTCCTGTTTGGAATGGGTGGGCTGGGGTGCATTGTGGTCTCTGAGTGTAGGGGTGGGAGTAGGAGGAGCTGAGGCAGCAGGTAAGTAGAGACAAGAGGAAACACTCTGCATGGAGGACAGCACCTCACCTTGTATCCTCAGGGGTCCCTCCACGTGGACACCAGACCGTACCATGGTCCCAGACCCAGCCTGAGAATCCTCTGGCTCCCCGGGCCTCTTGAAACGACAGTGCTGGACATCTTCAAATACCTGGAACATCTCATGAACCCGGGCTGTGTAGCCAGCCAGCTCTGTCACCTATAGGGAGGGTGACATAGGCTCAGTCTCGGCCACCTGGTGTGTGTGTGATCAGCTGGGGTGGGACTGCATTGTACTGGGGTTACCTCCTTATAGGATGACATGATCCGCTCAGTGGCATCCGCAGCAGCTGTGAGGAGGTTGCGGGCAATGGTGAAGGCCTCTGTACGCTCACTCACCAGCTCATCCTCCTCCAGGGCTGCCTTCCTTATGGCTTCTGAGTCTGCAAGTGAGGGGTGGGGGGCGGGGAGGGCAGGGGAGACAGTGGAGAGTCAGTGAGCCTCCATGGGAAGGATAAGTATCACGCAAACTGTTCTAGGATAACCAGATACATATACAGACATAAAAATACCCCCATCTCACACCACAAATGAAAACTAGGAGATTGCAGGTCAATGTGAGGAACTGAAACCATAAACTTCTTAGAAGAAAACAGGGGTAAAGGTTCATGATTTTGAATGAGGCAATCTAAGAAGATATGACACCAAATGTGCAAGCAACTAAGGGAAAAACAACTGAACTTCATCAAAATTAAAACACATTTGGGCACTAAAGGGTATCATCACAAAACTAAAGAAACAACATACAGATTGGGAGAGAGTATTTGTAAACCACCCATCTGGTAAGGGTTAGTACACAGAATATAAAAAGAACTTACATAACTTAACAACAAAAGGACAGAAAACCCAATCAAACAATAGGCAGAGGGTCCAAATAGACATTTGTCCAAATAAGATATATAAATGGCCAATAAGTTATGAAAAGATGTTCAACATCATTAGTCATTAGGGAAATGCAAATTAACACCACCAAGAGATACCACCTCACTCCAATTACGGTGGCTGCAACAAAGGGAGGTAATAACAAGCACTGGCCAGAAGGAAGAGAAATTGAACCCTTATTCACTGTTGGTAGGAGATAAAATGGTGCACAGCTGTAGAAAACAGTCTGGTGGTTCCTCACGAAGTTAAATACAAAGTTACCATAGGACCCTAAATATATACTCAGAAGAAACAAAAGAGGGGAATTTGTATGGAATGTCTACAGCAGCACTATTCATAGTAGCCAAAAGGTGGAAACAACCCAGATGTCCATCAATGGATGAATGGATAAAGAAATTGCGGTGTATATGTACAACAAAATATTCTTCAGCCATAAAGAGGAATGAAGTACTGATTCATCTTACAACATAGATGAACTTTGTAGCAATTATCTTCAGTAAAAGAAGCCAGTCACCAAAGGTCACATATCATATGATTGCATTTCTATGAAATGTCCAGAATAAGCATATCCATAGATATGCTTGGGTACAAGAGCCTGGGTGAGGGAGGACTTGGGAATGACTGATAATGGGTCTGGAGTTTCTTTTTGGGGTAATAAAATGTTATGGACTTTGGTGATCATGGTTGCACAACTCTGAGAATCTATTAAAAATCACTGAGGGCCAGAGGTGTGGCTCACAACCACTGAATTCTACTTTTTGTGGTATAGGGGTTTGAACTCAGGACCTTGAACTACACCTTGAGCCACTCCACCAGCCCTTTCTTGTCCTGAGTTTTTTAAGATAGGGTCTTTTGAACTATTTGCCTGGGCTGGCTTCGAATGATGATCCTCCTGATCTCTGCCTCCTGAGTAGCTAGGATTACAGGTGTGAGCTGATTTCTATGGCTTGTTAATCACATCTCAATAATAATGATTAAGAAAATGAGCCACAAGGGATCTGGCTTTGTTTTTTTTTTTTTTTAGCACAATCAGCTCTCCTCACCTACACTGTCTCTACCTACCCTCTGTCCTGTACCATATCAGTCCCTCTAGGAACACATCTGTTATTGGTTTTTTTTGGCAGTACTGGGCTTCGAATTCAGGCTTTGTGCAGGCTCTCTACCACTTGGGCCATGTCTCCAGTTCCAGGGTCTTATCTGGATTTCCCCATCCAATACCTTAGAGCTGTTTGTCTTTGAAATGTGAATAACCCCCTTCCTGACTTCCCTGCAATGTGCATTCTCTTTCATCTCCCCTTTGTGCCACGGTCTCTAACTTCCATGCCAAAGGTCATCTTTTCTCCCAAGAGCTGCTCTTTTCTAAACCTGCTTTTCTGTCATAATCTAGACCCCCATGGTCATGTCTTTCAACCTCCTCCCTCGACCTTTGAAGAGCAGAGTTTTTACACAAGGGATCTGGAAATGGTGGCAGGAAAAAGGAGAGGGCTGACTTTGAGGGTCCTGGGGTATAGGTGAATGAGTAGTGAGTGTCCACTGGGGAGGCACCAAGGGACCAAGGGTCCTAGGGCTGAAGTAGGAACTCTACCCAGGGGCATATGCAATCCCAAAGTGGATCCTCAAGAATCAATGGCAGGGGTAAGGTAGGAGAAAAAGGGACAGAGGCAGCTCAGAGCAGTGCAAATGGAAAGAGGACAGGATGGATGAACATAGTGCCTCACATTGCCTTCTGGGGCCCAGGCCAGGAAATCCGGGAGATGAACTGAGTTAGGGGCTGGATATCAATGTGCAAAGTCTAAGGTCTTGGGCCTTTCTTCCCACTGTGCCCTCCAGGATATAGCCCCACCAAGTATCAGGGACACCAGCCCTCCTCCGTAGTGTCCCGACAGCTGGACAGTCAGTATGGACAATGGGAAGGACTCAGGGCATTCTTGCCACAGCTAGCACTTTCCTGGAGGCAGAAACTCACTGCCCCCTTTAGGTTCCCTTGGGAAGCTCCTCTGGGCTGGAGTGAAAGTCACAGCCCCACCCTTCTCCTAGACTCTGGCCATAGCAGGCCAGCAAAGCAAAACTTATCTATATCTTCCCCTGTGGTTAAAGGCCTGCCTCCTCTCAGTCTCTTGGAGCTTTCACTTGCCACTGAGTATTGGTGATATAGTGGTGATAATACACACAAAAATTCTGATCCTCATCCAGCTCACCATAGAAGGTAGGGAGAGCGTGACAAAGAGGTGACACACACACACAGGGTGTTCAATATATGGAAGGGCAGGAAGGAAGGGAAAGGCAGAAAGAGGTGTGGTAGTCAAGGCAGGCCTCACCTAGGGCAGCCTGGGAGTAAGCTCTGACAAAGGGAGGTAGGTAGCAGAGGAAAGAGCATTCCCGGCAGAGTATGCAGCAGGTGCAAAGGCCCTGAGGCCAAAGCATGCCCGGTATTTAGAGGAATAACAAGGAGGCCTTTAAGACAGAAGTGGGGCAGGCAAGGAGATAAGCACAGAGGCTGAGAACTTCCTATGTACACCTTCCAAAGGTGACTGACTGTGAGGACCAGAGGGGCAGAGACAGGCTCATGTCTCTTTGAATCACCCACAAGGCTAGTACAGTAGAGGCTTCAGAAAGTCCTAGAAGACTGGCAGAGTAGCTCAAGTGGTAGAGCACCTGCCTAGCAAGCATGAGGCCCCAAGTTCAAATTCTAGGACTGCAAAAAAAAAAAAAAGTCTTAGGTCTTCTGTGATTTGTCCAGTTCCAACCATACAAAAAGTGGTTGTAGGCACTAACTCATGGGGTCCACATGCTCTGGGCCAGGTGTACTGACTAGATCAGGTATCTGCACCTGAATCAAGGCCACTTTTATGTATAGACTTCCAGAATTAGATTTTTCCTCCAGCGGGGGTGTGGGGGTCACTCAGAAAGGGACACAGCAACTGAGGGTAGAAGCCCGAAAGCAGAAACCCAAATAGGGGAAGAATCAGAGACTTCTGTTTCTGAAACAAGTCAGGCCAGATATACATACTTATAAACAAAAACCCTCTTGTCTGAATAAACAATAACACCCATAAAGCAGAGTCATGTTTGAAGGAAAACATGGGAAAATCCCAGGAGCAAAAAGAGAAGCAAGTAGCCAAGTGATTCTTTGAAATTTCCAGAAGCAGACAGGCAGAAGAGACAGGAAGCTTTGCTTGGGCTCTAGGCATACTGAACAAAAGGGCTCCTGTAAGAATTTGTAATTATGTGTCTCTGGGGTTTAAATGAATACTACCTCCAAGTCAGGAGTCACCCTCCTCCTGCTCAAGCTGAGAGGTTAACATGAACATGGCTTCTAACTGGTTAATTACCCCTAGAGTGCTTGACCAAAACAAAAGCAGCTATGCACTGGGTAATTACACCCTCAATGAGGCCACAGCCATCCAAACAAGGAAATGATCCTCCATGAGTGAGGATCAGAAGACAGAAGATAAAGGTAGATTAGATTCTCAAGGACTTCAGAAAACCAAATATTGGATACAGACTGTGGAATGAGTGTGATTAATATGATAAGCAAACATAAAAGAAGCAGTAGGAAAGATGAGCAAATGAGGCACTTATAAAAACAGTTTGAGCCAGGCATGGTGGAACACAGAAGACAGCAAGTTTGAGGCCAGCCTGGGCTACAAAAAATACCCTGTCTCAAAAAAATCATAAATAAATATAGTTTGAAAATTCTATTTGAAAAGGAAAATTTTCTATTTTCAAATTTCTATTTGAAGTAGAATCAAATACGGAAATGTAAAAAAAATCAAATTAGACACAGCTGAAGAGAAAACTGATGAACTGTAGAATTAGTGAGCAGGAAGAAGATTGAAAAACCTGAATATTTGAAGGATATACAAGTCTCAAGCAGGACAAACAGAAATCTACACCCAAACACATTACGGTGAAAATGAAGAATGCCAAAGAGAAAGTGAAAATCATAAAGATACCCAGAGAGAAAATGTAGGTTACTAATAACTAAACTGATAACAGATTTTTTTGTTTTGTTTTGTGGTACTGGGGTTTGAACTCAGGGCCTTCACCTTGAGCCACTCTACCAACCCTATTTTTGTGAAGGGTTTTTTGAGATAGGGTCTCTCGAACTATTTCCCCGGGCTGCTTAGAACTGCAATCCTCCTGATCTCCGCCTCCTGGGTAGCTAGGATTACAGGCATGAACCACCCCACCGGTTCCTGGCCTTTTTTTCAACAGCTACAGAAAAAGTGATAAGACAATAGAATATTGTCAAAGGGTTGGGAGAAATTACTTGTTCCCCTAGATTCCTATACTCAATCTAACTTTAGCTCTGGAATAAGAATGAAAAAGGACATTTTCAGATAGCAAAATAATTGAAAATATCCCATGATAAAACCCTTACTGAAAGAACGTTTAGCCTGGCGTGGTGACATCTTCAATCCTAGCATTCAGGAGACTGAGGCGGGAGGATTGTGAGTTTCAGGCCAGCTTGGGCTACATAGCGGGATCCTATGTTGAACAAACAAACAAATAAACAAAAAACCCCAAACCAAAATACACACACAAAATAAACCCAAACTTTTAAAAGATGTCTATCTGGAAGAAGGAAATGGAACAGAGAAAGGAGAATTGAGGTGAAAGAACAGAATGCTGAGCAGAGAAATCAGAATATGAGTGAGTTTACACATGCACCCACAGATGAAGCAATAACCAAGAATAAAAACCATGTGAAACCTAACTTTTGCTGCAATGACAGGTATGAAGGGGTTGTTTTTCCAAGGTAAAGTGTTTTAAGGTCCAGAAGGAGGGGAGCTATTGATTAACCTAAGACCTCTTTGAAGAATGCATGTTGGCTGGGTGCTGGTGGCTCATGCCTGTAATCCTACTCAGGAGGCAGAGATCAGGAGGATCACAGTTCGAAGCTAGCCCAGGCAAATAGTTCCGTGAGACCCTACCTCGAAAAAACCCATCACAAAAAAGGGCTGGTGGAGTGGCTCAAGGTATAGGCCCTGAGTTCAAGCCCCAGTACCGCAATAAATAAATAAAAAAATAAATAAAAAAGAATGCGTATTAAACTTCTCAAGCAAGGTAACCACTGAAAGTCTGAAAATAGAACGAATAAACTGCAAACCAGTAGAGGAACAAAGGGGAATAAAGACAACCAGACCATTACTAAAAAAACAGGTAGGACAGGTTTCCCACTTCCCCAAAAGGCCTTAAGGAGGAGGTCTCTACCATCATCTGCAATTGGTAAGAACCATTTTAGGGGTGGGAAAACCAAGACTGAGGTAGTGAAGGGTTTTACCCAAGGTACTCCCCACAACCCACTTCCAAGTTGCAGTTGGGTTGGGGATAGGGACAGGTGGGCAAGGGTGCACATGTGTGATGAAGTAGCATGTGGTGTTCCTGAGTTGTGGTCCCAGGCTCAGCTGCATGGTACCAAGGAAAATAAAATACATGCAGGGTGAAAGGCAAAGGGGAGATACGAGGAAAGCCTGACCTTTGATAATCTCAAGGATGCCAGCAGGGCCTCAATGTTACTGGTAGCAGAGACAGATGATCTGGCTAAGCTCTGGGACCTTGCAAAGCTAGCACCCAGTGCTACAGGACAGTGCCCTGGTTCCAGCCCCCCCAGAGCCATGGCTCTCACCTGACTCTGGATAGCCAGTAGCAGTGATGATGGGGACTGCCACCATGAGTAGGCCTGAGGCACTCCACACATACTTCATGAGGAACTGCTCCAGCATGACATACCACAGGCGTTCCAGCAGGATGAGGTTGATCTGCGAAGCCAGGTCTTGGTAGGAGTGTTTTAGCAGTGCCAGCTCCACCTGTCAGGACAGTAGAGACTGAAGCCTTTTGGCAACTCCTGCGGGGGCTATGTAAGAGTCCCTAAGTGCTGCTCACACACACTATGCTGTCTGATGGCATGACAAGGTCAAAAGCTTGGGGGTTATAATTGGGGTGGGGCCAAGTCTCAAACAGGGGTGATTGTGGGGATTGACTGCTGGACATTACAGTGGAGTTCCTGTCCTCTCTTCTAACTACCTCTCTAGTTGGGACACTCATCACTCCTCTCTCTGTATCCTGATCAGTTTCTGGATGTGGGCCCAGGGCAATCACCTTTCTGTCCTTTGCTGAGCCTATTTCTTTGGGCTCCCTCCAAGCACCTGCTACCCAGGTACCTCCCCACCTCAGAAATCATCAGTTCTAACTTTTTTTTGGCAACACTGGGGTTTGAACTCAGGGCCTCACATTTGCTAGGCAGGTGCTCTAGCCACTCCACCAGCTCTTTTGTCTGTTGAGTTATTTTTGAGACAGGGTCTCACAAGCTATTTGCCAAGGCTGGCTTCAAAGTGCGATCCTCCTGATCTCTGCCTCCTGGGTAGCTAGGATTACAGGACTGAGCCACCCGCATCCAGTCAGGGCTAACTTTTTTACCCTGACCTAATTAAAGAATAGCACAGGAAACAGCAATGTTCTTGGTTTTGAAAAACTCAGTCAACAGTCTCTGCCTACTTTCCCAGGGTTCCTCTCCATGAAGGTAAAGTGTAAAGGTACACTCTCAAGCCGGCCTGCACTCCAGCTTGGCTTTCTGTCCCTCAGCAGGGAGTAGGCCTCCCCTGTCTTCCCCACTCTCTTACTGCACTGGCTGCATCAAGAAGGGAACCGGTGCCTCTGCAGGGAAAGCGGTGGCAACAGCACACCAGTGGAGGAGGCCAGAGATGTTGGGAAATGCTCATGGCAAAGTGACCATGAGGTCCAGGTGCACGTGCCCTGTCCCCAACTCCCCATTCTCTACTGATGACAGCTGTTCAGCCTGGCACCACATCTCTCTCCATTTGATTGTCACGTTTCATTGCATGTGTACTCTCATGTCCATTATAAGATACTGACACCCAGACAGACAAAGTGACCTGCCAAAGCAGGAGGTACCAAGCAGTGCAGGCCACACTGGCAGGGCTGTTAGGAGAACTGGATTCTTACAAATGATGCTCTGACTTAGTAAGAAAGATTTACTTCCTTCTCAAGCAAGAAGTCATGTGCATGTGTGTGCACAATGCATGTGCATGTATTTAACTAAGTGGCCTTGTTTGAAATCCTAGTAAGAACAGAAGACTCCACTGTTGTCCAGTCAGTCACTTACTTTTGTCCTAACTTGTTGGTTTGAGCCTAGGCCCATGTCTACAGAGACATCAGCCAGTGGGACTGGAGTGGGCCGCATACCTGCATAGCAAAGGCAATCAACCCACCGTGGGAGCCTGTCACCTCACACAGCTTTTCTAACCGAGGCCTAACAGACAGGTCAAGGATGTACACAAGGGTACTCTGCCCTGGTAAGTCAGCTCTCTTGGTGACTGTGCTATTTCCTGAAGCCAGCCCACAGGAAGTCCTTTCAAACACCAGAGCTCTCTTCTGTCTGTCCCTAGTACTAGGGTCTGCTCACATAGCTCAGTTTTCTTCAGTCCCAATGTTGGGTTTTTGAAGTGAGCACATCTCCTCTGAGCATCCTGGTAATCCAGGCTTGTGCTGAGAGCTGTAGGAGTGCCAGCCAAGGCTGGCAATGTAGCTGCAGGTAATGTGCTAGGTGCCTCACCCAAGGCTACAGCTGCCTGCCAAAGTCCTGCAGAGAGGGTTAAGGATGAAGGCCAGGCACTTTTTCACCTAATCTGAAGCCTGGCACCATGCAGGATGTCCCTTTCTTCAGAGTGCAGGAATAAGCCTTTTTTTTTTTGAGACTGGGATGACAGGTATTTGCCACGAGGACAGGGGACAAGCCCTTTTTTAAAAATCAGGGACAAGTCTGTTTCTTTACATGATGTGCAGCCAATGAGACAAGGTCCTGGGAAACACACATAGGCCTCAGGAGATGGGTGCTATTGTGCCCCTCCCCCTGACCCAGCATTGGGGAACCGAAACCTGAGTTGCAGACAGCCTGGCTTGAGGCAGCTGCAGCCCCAGGCACAAGGAAGGGGAGGGGCTGCAGTGAGATAAAGAGAGAATTGGCCTGGAGTAACCTTTCCTAGTGCCTGCCCCACTGGCCCAGGCCCACCCAGGAGGGAGCCACTGGGATCCTGACGGAAGGGTGGCCGGCCGGGGCAGGACAGCTGCCAAGTGGGCAGGAAGTGTGTCTTGCCGCGGTGGCGGCTGGGGCCAGGCATCCCTAGATCTGGGCCTTGGGGAGGCGGTGAAGCTGGTCGCTGGCCAAGCTGGTCGCCAGCTGGGCAGGCCCAGGGCTCTCTCTCAGGCGGCCTTGACCCCAAGCCCGCCACTGCTATAGCCACTGCTCGTTAACCTCTGCTTGGGCTGAGTCATGCCCATAATGCCTGCCTGCCCAGCCAGCCAGCTCTGCTGGACGCCGGCCTTCAAAGGGCACAGAGATGCAGCAGAGGCTGGCCAGCAGGCTGGGCCCCACCGTCCCTGCTCCCAGCTGGCTGCAGGAGAGGAACGAGATGGAGCACTAGTGTCTCAAACAGCTAGGATCCATAGCTCCAAGAGCAGGGCCACCTCACCAAGGAAGCAGATGTGGCCTGCAGGTGCCAGCAGCTGTGTGCACAGGCCAGCCCCCACCCAGTGGTCCTGCTGCACCATTTCTGTCCCCAAGAGGTGGTCAGCCCAGGCCCAGCCCCTCCCGTAGCCTCCCTGAGCACCCCTTGAGCATGAGCCCAGCAGGCCCTGGTCTTTCCCCACTGGTCACAGCTGGCTGCCTAGGTCTCCCAGCCACCAGCTCTCTCTGACACCCGCCAGAGCTCCAACGTGCCCCACCTCATGGCCCCCATAGAAGGCAATTTCCTCCGAGTTGGCCACCACGCGAGAGTGCATGTAGCGCAGCTCTCCCTTCCGTCGCGCCTCCTCTGCCACCAGCTCCCCAAACTTGGGCGAGAAGGCTCGCAGCACGTTGGCTGTGAGGAACACCACGAGGCCAGCGATGGCCGAGGGCCAGGCTGTGCCAGCCCCACGGGAGCGGGCCGCTCCAATCAGGGTGTATGAGGTCACCGCCACGTCCAGGAGTGGCTTGGTCAGGTTGGAGTAGAGGTGGGCCACAGACGCAGCGAAGGCCACCACATCTTCCGTCAGGGACTGGTCTGGGTTGCGCAGCCGCCCATCCATGTTGCTCACACGGTAGTAGGTCTGTTGGGCAAAGTAGAGGCTGTAGGCATGGGCCACCAGGCGGCTGCGGAAAGCCAAGGCCAGCTGGCCCTCCAGGTAGCGGATGGCGCTGTTGACAAAGGTGGCGGGAAGGGCGATGAGGAGCCACTGCAGCAGCTGCCAGCTGAAGGCCCGCGGGTCCTTGCGCACGATGCAGCGGGCCAGCCGGCCGTCCAGGCGGGCCACGTACACGGACAGGAAAGTCCGGCTCACCAGGGTGGCCGAGTGCAGTGCCAGCAGCCCTGTCTCCCGGCACAGGACTCGGGGGAACAGCAGCCGAAGGAGCACGAGGAGCCGCTGCAGGAACACCCGGTTCACGCCGGCCTTGGCTGCTGTGACCCCGCAGGCCTCCTGTGTGGGCTCCCCAGCTGGCATCGGAGGGACCCTGGCCGGAGTCAGGCACTGCCGCAGTAGAGGGTAGATTTTGTGGACTCCATAGGCTGTGAGGGCCAGGACCACGGCTGTGCGCTTCAGCGTGGTCACCCGTGAGGGCCGTGGTGTGGAGAGCACCGGCATGTCACCTGGACTGGCTGGCAGGCTTGGGCCGGGACTGGTGCCTCAGGCAGCAGTTGAGGCAGGTGCTGGAAGGGTTGTTGCTCGGACGCGGGCTCGTTGTCTAGGCAACTGGAAACCTCACACTGGTCCCTGGACTGTCCTTTAGGTCCCCTGGATGCTGCTGGGGACCCTGGTGCGGGGCTCAGGGTCCTCCAGGGTCGTGGCCTCTTCAGTAAGCCCAGGTGGGAGGAACCTGGCTTCCTTCTCCTGTCAGTTCCTCAGCCCCTGAGGTCAGAGCCTCCAGAGGTCTCGGGCAGAGAGGGCGTCTCTTTCCTTCTACCTCCTCCTTCTCCCCTAGTGACGCCCCTTCCCGAGGCCACCGAGCACGTCGGTCAGCTCGGCAGCAGGCTGAGGCGACAGTGATTCCGCCACCGGCCCAGAACCCCCACCCACCCACCCTTCCCCAGGGGCGAGTAGGGGAAAAGGGAGGAGGCGAAGGAGGGGCGGGAGGCGGAGTCCGTTCAAGGGGCGCCCCACCCCGTTCTTCGGCCTGGCCACGCCCTCCTCCGCCCCCCCACCCCCCCCACCCCGGACTCAGAGAAGAGGGATGACCACGCAGCTTAAAGAAGCGGCCCTCGCCTTCCCGCCAAGGCTCCGCCCTGCCTCGCCCCTGCGCGTCGGGAGCGCCAGAAGCGCCACCGCCGGCTGCGAGGCGTTACTTCTTCTCAAGTCCTTGGCAACAGGCCCTCGACTCGGGGGCGGGGCGGGAAGCAGCCGTGGGCGGGGCCTCCGGGGGCCTCGCGAGGACTTGTGGGCGGGGCGCGATGGACGCTTCCGGTTTCCGGCCGTGGGAAGAGGTGGGGCCCGGCCTGTGGTGAGAGAGTTTGGTGGCTGCGGCTAGGCGTGCGCGGTGACTGGAGAAACTCGGTGAGCGGCGTCTGTGTTCAGGGCTGGGCTTCCAGGCCTGTGAGGTCCCCCTCAGCCCTTCGACGAGGGAAGGGGGCGAGTAGTGCCGCCGAGAGACTAGAGGTTGTAGGGAATCTCGGGGCCCAGGGCCGACCCGGGAAGGTGGAGCTGGGCCGGACTGAGGAGATTGGGGCGGCGGCGAGTGGAGCTGGGTCTTGGTGGCGCGAGGGACGTTTGCTAGGGTGTGCGGAAGTGGTGAAGTTTCCCGCCCTCCCGGGAGCTGCGGGAGTGGGCCTTTCGATGGTGTGCCCGGCTAGGACCACGCGGGGTCCTCGGTGCCTCCTGTGTGGTTCTCGAGCTCGATACCGTTGTGGCCCACCAGGGCTATTTGAAGGGCTCCTCTGGCTTCCGAGGAGACTTGCTTGTTCTAGAACTTTCTCTGGATGAGGCCTTGAGGTACTCAGTTGAGACCTGCATTTGCTCTTGGCCCGGACTCCTCTCCTCTAGGAGTCGCTCTTGTGGGCTTTTCCAGGTAACTTCGAGGCCTCCTGCCTCATGGACGGCAGAAGGAGCCCTCAGGTCTTTTTAGCTCCGGAAAACAGCCCCAGAGGGAGACTGCTGGCTTTTTCTCTGTGGGTTGGAAGGGCCTCCTAGTCTCGGCGGAGGCGGGGGCATGGGCGCGGCCGGCGGCTGCCTTTTTACTGAAGTCCTGTGGGTCTGGGGCCTACTGTAGCAGGGATTGACAGACGCCCACGCCCTGCCCAGAACACTGCTTGCCTGGGAAGGGAGCCTGGTGGGTGCTGACTTCCTCCTTTTCATGTACTGTTCTTTTTTTTTTTTTTTTTCCTCGGTGGTACTGGGGTTTGAATTCAAGGCTTCATGCTTGCTAAGCAGGCGTTCTACCACTTGAGCCACTCCACCAGCCCTCATGTACTGTTCTTTTATAAAAAAAACACTTTCTTAAACAGGCCTAAGGAGTCTATTCCACTGGGAAAAGGAGTCATCAAAAAAGGTGGCTATAGATGTGTTCGCACACATGCTGGAGGGCAGCAAGTAACTATCTCAGTAAATGGAAGTTTGTTGGCTGTTCAATCCCATTGGCTAGGTGGCCCTGCCTGATTAAGCCCTGGTTCAGTCAGTGCTTCAAAGACTCTGAAGCTGGTGGGGTCCAGGGTGAAGAGAGGCAGCCTCAGTCTCCCCCTGAACTGGATGTCGGTGGCCGCCTAGCTCCTCTGACTCCTCTTGTTTCCTCTATGCTTTGCCAGGATACAAGCTCACATCTCTATTGGAAACCTGCTAGCCACAAGATGAGTCTGCAGTGGACTGCAGTTGCCACCTTCCTCTATGCAGAGGTCTTTGCTGTGTTGCTTCTCTGCATTCCCTTCATTTCTCCCAAAAGGTATGGCCTATGGAGCAAGCAGGCAAGCAAATGGGAGGGTACATATCTTGGAGCCTTTTAGCCTGTGTGTGCAGAGTTCATGAATCTTGAAATTGGGGCCAGATGGAAATAGGTAGAACCTGTCTAGGGGTGGGGTGGGGTGGGTAGGAGTATGTTTATTATTGCCAACATTCTACCTCATTTTGCTTTGTCACATCTGCCCGAGTTCCTTTCCTGTGCACCCTGCCTTCTGGTCTTCAGAATGCCCTCAAAGGGAGAGGATCTCTTCAAAGTTCTGGGCAATGATGCCTTCCTGCCTACCTTTGGGCCTCAGGGGTGTGAGGGATGGATGTGTGGGATCCGGAACATTTGCACCACTGGGTCACATTGTTGCTGATTTGCTGACTTCTGTCCTCCTAACTAGCTCCACTAGCATTGCGTAGTAGCCTCATGAGCATTACTCGGCCTATGAAGGATGAAGCCATATTTCCTTTTAAAGAACAGAGGACCTGTTAAAAGATACTTGGAAATTAATTTTAATTATACTTGATATATAAACACATCATCCCTGTTTGTTAGGTTGTTGTAAATAAGGCTGTGTTGCCACAAATATAACGCTACCTGAGGAATATTCTTGCCAAAAACCAAATCTGTTTTTTTTTAGGGGGAGGAGTGGGACTGGGGTTTGAACTCAGGGTCTTGTGCTTCCTAAGCAGGTGTTCTACCACTTGAGCCATGCCTCTAGCCTATTAAACACTTTTTCTTTTTTTTGGCAGCACTGGGGTTTGAACTTGGGGCCTCACACTTGCTAGCAGGTGCTCTCACTGCTTGAGCCACTCTGCCAGCCCTTTTTTGTGATGAGTTTTTTGAAATAGGGTCTGGGGAACTCTTTGCCCGGGAATGGCTTCAAACCATGATCCTCCTGATCTTGCCTTCTGAGTAGCTAGGATTACGAATGTGAACCACCAGCCCTCGGCTTATTAAACACTCTTGAGTGGAAAATTATAAGCAGCCAACTTTGTATATGCCCTTTGGCCACTGGAGAAGAGTGCCAGTCTGGCTTTGCATTCTGCTCAGGGCCTGGATCCCAGGTGTGTTGTACATTTTCTTCAGCCCCTAGGCTTTTCATCTTGTCCTTTACAGATGGCAGAAGATTTTCAAGTCCCGCCTGGTGGAGTTGGTAGTGACCTACGGCAACACCTTCTTTGTGGTTCTCATTGTCATCCTTGTGCTGCTGGTCATTGGTGAGTGAGCTGGGATGGGGGTAGCTACCTGGTTTAGGCCTCATGCTGTCACCTCTGTTGGAAAGTTCTGTGCCAGGTTTGTATGTATGGAGAACAACTTTGAAATTGAACATAGAAAGTTAAAGTTCCCTGTAATCCCACGGGCAACCATGGAATACTTTGTTGTACATTGAAATATTTATAGCACTGGGACTGTATATACAGTTTTGGATTGGGCTTTTTCTACCATCTGTACTTCAGATATCTTTTTTTGTTTAAAAAAATAATGCATAGTACTTTCTCATGGTTATACCATAGTGTAATTCCCTCTTTATAGGCATCCTTGTATCATTACACATTTATGCAAATGCTTCTGTGGGATAAATTTACAGTGGTGAAATTGCTGAACCCCAGGGTATGAACATTTTAGTATGCTGTACCAGTTTATATCCTGCTTGCAGTGTTTGAGAGTACTTGCTTCATGGCCCAGATTTAACATAAAGATACCAGGAAGGACAGGCATATTTTTTGTAATGCAAGATGAGCTTCAAAACCGAAGTAATCCCAAACTGGAAATTACAAACCAAGTAATATGTAAAAAGTGATATCTTGTCCTTCTCACGTGGAAGTCTTCTTCAGGTAGATATTTATGTAGGCTAAAAAAATACTGTCTCAGGATAAGTGGGGAAAAGCAGAAGGTACACTATGTTTCCATTTGTACAGTACAGATGGATTTTTCTGTAGACGTATTATTAAACTAGAGTCCTGTGCGACTGAGAGTGGCTCTTGTGGGAGCAGAGGCTGTTCACTTGTTCAACAGTTGCTTGATTTCCTACTATGTGCTCAGAATTTTGTTAGGCCCTTGGGGATCTAGTGAAAAAGACTTATCATACAGTTTGTAGTAGTTTAGTCTGGGGAAGACGGACAAGCGACACATATTTGATAACTTCAGAGAGAGATGTGTGTTACAAAGCAGGTAATACAGGAAGATGACACTAACAGTGACTTTAGATCAGGTGGCCACATAACTTATCGTATACCTTACTGGGTAGATGGCATTTTTCCCTTCCTATATTTATGCTATGTTTGAACTTTTTTTTCTTTTGGGTAGGACTGGGGTTTGAACTCAGGGCTGGTGCTCTACCACTTAAGCCACACTCACAGCCCATGTTTGAGCTTTTATTTATTTTTTTTGTCGACTGGGGTTTGAACTCAGGGCCTACCCCTCGAGGTATTCCACCAGCCCTTTTTTGTGATGAGTTTTTTCGAGATAGGGTCTCACAAACTATGTGCCTTGGGCTGGCTTTGAACTGTGATCCTCCTGTTCTCTGCTTCCTGAGTAGCTAGGATTACAGACATGAACCACTGGCGCCTGGCATGAATTTTTTTTCTAGTCAAATAAAACACAAATGATTAAATGATACAGTTTAGGAATCCTTGCCTCCTATGCACCCATGTCTTATGAGCAGGTCTTGTGAGTATTCCACAAATAAGACCTCCATCTAACTAGTGCCGTGGCTGGTGGCCTGACTTGAGAGAAGAATAAGTTGAAGTTGGGGGCACCATGGGAAAGGGATGCTGCCTCTGTTGCCAGCAATAATACCTCAGCTTTCGTTAGCATCTTGTTTGTTTTTTTTTCCAGTATTGGGTGTTGAACTCAGGGCCTCACATGTGCTAGGCAGGTGCTCTACCACTTGAGCCACTCTGCCAGCTTATTAGTTAGCATCTTGAAGTGTAGAGCAAGCGCATGGTCTGGGTAGAATGGGGCAAGGATTGATATGTGAAAAGCTAGAGGAGAAGGTCTGAGGACAGGAGCTTTTTTTGGAAGGGAGGGCAGTACTTGGGTTTGAACTCAGGGCTTCATGCTTGCTAGATAGGCACTCTCCCACTTCAACTATGTTCCCCAGCCCTTGGGCAGGAGCTTTTGATAAAGCCTCCCACAAGGGGTGTGAGTATAGAAGAAGTAATAACTAGGAAGACACATTTGAAGGCAGCCTGCCCATCTCATGCTACCTGTTTTGCTTGCCCAACGGACAGCTAAATGTCTGTCTCCTCTGCTCTGCTGTAGATGCTGTACGCGAGATTCGAAAGTATGATGATGTGACAGAAAAAGTGAACCTCCAGAACAATCCTGGAGCCATGGAACATTTCCACATGAAGCTTTTCCGTGCCCAGAGGAATCTCTACATTGCTGGCTTTTCCTTGCTGCTGTCCTTGTGAGTGGGAAGGGACTGGGGCTGTGAACAGAGCCTGTTGCTAACCAGGAATATGGAGCTATGTGGGCTTGGTTTGCGCCTGTAGCTTAATTCCTCCTTAGTCTGCGGCCTGGACCCAGAGGCCCTGTTTATTTGGAGACCCTCATAGTTGCTTCCTGACCTCCAGAGGCAGCATGGAGAATAGAAAGGGGCTGACTGAATCCCAGAAGACCGGAATTCACTCCATGGTCTCATAGGGAAAATTTATTACCATCCTATGCTTTGCATATAGATTGAAATAAATGACAAAGACTTTCCCTTTCTCTGAGAGAAGACCTTTGGAGCCCAGCTTACAAGGAATTAACTCACTAGGGGCCTTTTGTATGTAATATAGAGTGCTTATCTAGGTAGAGTGGGCAGAAGCAGTGGGGATTAAGACCGATCTTGTCTCCGTGGCTTTCCCACGTTACGCTTCATGGTGCACTGGGTATTTCTGGTGATTTTTTGCAAGACGAGGGTGGCTAGTTGGGCAAGGGCAGACTAGTTAAAAGTGATTATTAGGGTCTGGAGCCCTGTTTGCTGCCTCCTGCTTCACACTGGGGTTTTGATCATGGGGCTGGCAGAGAAGTAGACGTAAGTTCAGGCTTAGAGCAGGTGGAGATATTGGAAAGATATCACTGCTGTGTGGTTCAGAAGTCAAGTATTTTAGTCCATTCATGCTATTGCAGCAAGATAACTGAGACTGGGTAAGTGATAAACAATGGAAATTTTTGTTTCTCACTGTTTATTTTTTGGCAGTACTGGATCTTGAACTCAGACCCTCACACTTGCTAGGCAGGCGCTCTGCAGGCCTTTTATAAGATGCTAATCCATTTGTGAGGGCAGAGTTCTCACAACTTAAGCACTTCCCAAAAGGCCCCACTTCTTAATATCTCCACAATGGGGATTGTATTTCAACACATGAATTTTGGTGGTGGTGGTGGGGGGTTACTCAGATGATAGCACCAAGTGAGTGTGTGGATTCTCAGACTGGGTTCACAGATGGTAATTCCCCACCTGGCTTTGTGCCCAAAGACTCAAGACAGTGCCGAAGGGATTCTTGTTCCCATAATCAGCTGTTATGTCCTGTTTCATTAGGCTTTAGGATGACTACCTATACTAGGTTTTAGCTTTTCAGGAAATAGCCTCAGTCAGGCAGATCTTGAACTTGCTGTGTCCAAGTTGGAGAGAGTCAGATGTGGAACTAGAAAAGGCAACTTGCTTTTAGTCTTTTATCTTTCCATCACTTTAGTATTTTAGTGTGCTGAGTCATCACTTGTGTGTGCTTTGTGGACAGGGACTGAAGATTTATAGAAAAAGAAATACCTTTTTTTTTTCTAGTGGTAGTGGGAATTGAACCCAGGGTGTCTCATGTCTGCTAAGGAAACACTCTACTACCAAACTACATCCCCAGCCTCTCTACTTTTTTATTATTATTTTACTAAAATTTTTTTTTGGCAGTATTGGAGTTGGATTGGAGCCTCATGTTTGTTCCACTTTAAAAACAAAACAAACAAACAAAAAAACTTGAAACCAAGGTATTGCTAAATTGTTCAGGCTAGTCTTAAGCTTGCCATCCTCCTGCCTCAGCCTCCTGAGTAGCTGGAATTACAGGCGTGTGCCATTGTGCTTAGCTCAAGGTAATGTATTTGGTCACAGATGTAATCTGTAAGCTTCCCATCCAGAAACTTGGGAAAGTCAGGAAGTGAGGATGGGAGGAGTTGACACACTTTCAATTTTTAGAGTTGTAGGAAGTTCTAAAAAAAATCTTGTCTGAGACTGAAAAAGGGAAATGTATTAAAGGATTAGGTCTCAAAAACAGGATTCTGAGTACAACTGCAAGTGAGCCAAGTGAGGAAGGAATCGAGACTACAGAGGAGAGGAAACTGAGGGAGGGTGCCCGTTAGTAAAGCATGTAGAGCTTTAAGAGTAGTATTTGAAGTGTGAGGCTCTGAGTTCAAACCACAGTACTGCCCAAAAAAAGGACTAGTATTTGTAGCTTAGTGGTACAAATACCACTAAGCTTCCTTAATATGTGTAAAGCACAGGATTCAATACGCCCATCAATGCAAAAAAAAAAAAAAAAAAGACTAGTATTGTTGGGCTGGGGTTGTAGCTTAGTGGTAGAGTGCCTAGCATGCATGTTCAAGGCCCTAGGTTCCATCCCCAGCACCCCAAAAAAAGATATGGAGAAGGTGAAAACCTACTGTGGGCAAGGATCTACGAGGGTGCCTAGCTTCAAATGAGGTAATGTCTGCTTAGACTTGATGAATTTATGTTCAAAAACTATTGAAATCAACTGTGGCTGGAATCGTTGCTGATTCTTGAGGCATTTCAAGGTGGGAGAGATGCTGAAAGGCTATAGACATGCCAGCTTCCCAGTTTCCAAAGGGAGAAAGTGGGTGAGGATATGACTAGAATGGGAGGATTTGACTTTATTCTCAAGCCGTGCTCTAGAAGGGATAGTTGTACGCTTTTGGAAGAGATGGGATTATTGGTAACAGCTATGAGTTCCTGGAGAAGTTCTGTCCGTCCTATTCTTGCCTTTTGTAGATCAAGTGTCAAAGGATTCTCAGCACAGTGTTTGTCAGGCTCTGAGTCTGTTCTTAAGGAGCAAATTCTGAAGTGTGGGCATGGCACAGTGTAGTTAGGTGTGATCCTACCTCGTGAGTGGCTCACTGCTTCCTTTTCCCTGCCTGGCCTGTTTCGTATTTATCTGCATGAAGACATGAACAGATGCTGGGAGAAATAGTCACTAGGAGGAATAGCAGGTAGGGTAGCCACCTTTTTGAGTCCTTAGCTGTCTATACAGACTCGGTGCTGGGCCAACTGGAATGAGACTTGAATTTTTAATGGAGAGGCATAAATGCGCATAAATGTGAGTTTATCAAGGCCAGGGAAGACTGGAGTAAACAGGAACTTGGGCTTGGGGACTGTTGCAGCTCAGTATGAGTTAGTGGCAAAAGCTAATGGGCAGGGATAAGGGGTGTAGCTCAGTGATAGAGTACCTGCTTAGCATGGGTGAGGCTCTGGGTTAGATCCCTAGTACCTCTCAAAAAAAAAAAACCCCAAAATACGAAAAAACAAAACCAAAAAATGCTGGGTGCCTGTGGCTTACACCTTTAGTCCTAGCTGCTCAGGGTGCAGAGATCAGAAGGATCTTGGTTTGAAGCCAGCCCGGGCAAATAGTTCAAGAGACCCTATCGAAAAAAAAAAATCATAAAAAACGGGGCTGGTGGGGTGACTCGAGGTGTAGTCCCCGAGTTCAAGCCCCAGTACTGGAAAAAGACAAAACAAGAAAACCTTATATGCTGTTAGCACCCCTCAGTGAAGCCTAGGGCTGCTAGGAGGGAGGCACAAGTCCTGCTAGGCTTGCTGTTAGTCAGATGCTACCTGGAGTGCTGCTTTGGGGTCACCACCTTTTGAAAGTTGCCAGCAAACTGCATGCTACTTCAGGGGCATAGTAGCGGTAGCAGATGTGCTAGCACTTGCTCCCCACAGACTATGGCTTCTAAGTCCTTTACTTTCCTGACTCTTTTTTGCTTCTAGAAAGATACCTCCAGGTCAGGTGCTGCAGGTATTATCTGACCATGCCAGGGGACAGTGGTCGGACCTCCCTTCTTCTGTGGCTTTGGGGTGGCTAGACTGCTAAGTGAATGGGTATGTGCTCAGTACAGTCCTCTCTGTGTGCATTACTGTAGGCCAAAATGGTCAGGTTAATTTCTGTAGGCTGCCTTTTTTTTTTTTTTTAAACATTGACGTATATTCATACATGGCTTAATGACAGGGACATGTTCTGAAAATGTATAATTATGCAATTTTGTTGTGATAACATCATAGAGCACAATTACACAAACCTACATTGAACAGCCTACTGTATACCTAGGCTCTATGGTATAGCCTATTGCTTCTAGGATGCAAGTCTGTATACAGCTGGCATGCTACAGGCAACTGTAACACAGTGACAAGTACTTGTATATCTCAGCATTGGAAAGATAAAGGACTGGGGTGTAGTTCAGTGGTAGAGCATTTGCCTGCATGCAGGACCCTGGGTTCAGTTCTCAGCAATGTAAAAAATGTTGACTAGAAAAGGTACAAAATGATTTAAAAAAAAAAAAAAAACAACTACATTTGTGTAAGGTACATACCCTGAATGGAGCTTGCTGAGCAGTTGCTCTGGGTGAGTTGGTGAGTGAATGTGAAGGCCTAGGACTCTACAATACGTGACTGTAGACTCTGAACTCCTGCATTCTTAGGCTATGTTACATTTATGAAAAAAATTTTTCCTTCAATAATAAATGAGTTTTAGGTTCCTGTGACTTATAAACTTCTTTTTTGGTGGCAGTGGAGGAGTTGAACTCAGGGCCTTGTGCTTGCTATGCAGGCACATTCCCAGCCATGTAAACTTTTTAATTTTAACTTTTGACTCTTGGCATAAAACACAAATCCATTGTACAGCTACACAAAAATATTTTCTTACATACTTGTTATATTAAGCTTTTTTCTATTTAGGTTTGTTTTTGTTTTACATTTTAAACCTTTTTTTTTTTTTCCTTTTTGGCTGCACTGGCACTGGGGTTTGAACTTAGGGCCTCACCCTTGCTAGGCAGGCACTCTTACCCCTTGAGCCATTCCACCAGTCCCTTTTTTAAAAAAAATTTCATTTATTTATTTTTTTCTTCTATTTATATGTGCATACAATGTTTGGGTCATTTCGTCCCCCGTCCCCCTTTTTTGTGATGGGTTTTTCAAGATAGAATCTTGTGAACTATTTGCCTGGGGCTGGCTTTGAACCGTGATCCTCCTGATCTCTGACTCCTGAGTAGCTAGGATTACAGGCATGAGCTACTGGCACCTGGTTTAAACTTTTTCTTAAAAACTAAGACACAAGCTGGGCATGTGCTAGCACATCTATAATCCCAGCACTTGAGAGGCTGAGGCAGGAGGATCACTAGTTGAGGCCAGCCTGAGCTTCATAGTGA